TTCAAAAGTTGCTGCGGTATGAAATATGGAACAAGTATTAATTTGGAATATGAATTATGGAACAAGCATTAGTTTGGAGTATGAAATATGGAACAAACTTTTTTGAGCATTTTGAAGAAAAAGTTTGGTGTTTTGTAGAATTTCTTTGAGGAATGGCACTACACCTGGGTAGTTAGTGGATGCATAGGATCCAACTAGGCACCAAGGCTCGTTCTTTTCTGATTTTAACTTGGTTCCTGTTAACATTTTTTTAAAAAAATTATTAAACGGTGTTTTCTTAAAAAAATTATAAAGAAGCTACTTCAAAATATTAGATAAATATGCCTTTTAAATTTAAAATAATTAAAACTCAATTAATTATACATCAATAATTTTTCTCGTTTTCGTACTTTTAAACTTTGAACAGGCCCAAGTAATATAAGATTATTCTACGTTCAGTGATAATATTGCTTGCATAATGGGTTACTGTATATCGTTTTTTCCCCTAATATGCTACACTTCACTCGTATTTCGGAGAAACAAGTAGAGCAAAAAAATCAACAAAAAATGACGAGCAAACGAGGCAGCCAACCAGGGAGACCACAGGTGGAACTCTCAAGTCTCGATCACTCAAACAAACACACACTAGGCCAGACACAACACAACAGTGAGGAGTCAGTGGATACCCACGATTCACTAGCCGGCCGTGGACGCGACGTGATTCGCTCGTGTGAAACGGCCGCGTCGAGGAGGTCAAGATCGGCGGCTCGCGGCAGCGGCACGTGTGCTGTAAAAAAAGAAAAGGGTGTCATGTGTGGCACACCTTAGCGACTGTCTTGTGGGCCCTCCTGTTACCATCGGACGGCTCGAATTGCTCCGGCCGGTCACGGCGGCGCGCAACGTCGCCGGCAAGAAGTTCTCGTCGTCGACGACTACCCTGCGTCAAGTCCTTCCATTTTCTTTTTCAATTCTGCCTCTGTTCTTTGTCTACTGTAAGGTAAATATACAACAGGTACATATAAGATGTACATATTTTTTAGCTGGATTTTCGTTAGTACGTTTTCTAAATTATTAAATAGTATATTCCGTGTAAGAAAATTTTATATATAAATTGTTTAAAATATTACATAAATCCATTTTTAAAAATTTAATAATTAAAGTTTATTATATACAAATCATTTTTTTCGTTTTCCATGCCTTACTTTATCCTCATTCTAATCTATCTCTAACACCAACACAACATGTGCACTCACTCAGAAGAAGAGAGCTGAGCCGTTGGTTTCTCCGGTTTGGATGGCCCAGATTGAGACAGCGAGAGACCGAAAGAACCAGAATGAATATATACTCCCTCCGTTTCAAAATGTTTGACACCGTTAACTTTTTAGCACATGTTTGACCGTTCGTCTTATTAAAAAAATTTGTAAAATATGTAAAACTATATGGGTACATGAAAGTATATTTAACAATGAATCAAATGATATAAAAAGAATAAATAATTACTTAAATTTTTTGAATAAGACGAATGGTCAAACATATACTTAAAAAGTCAATGGTGTCAAATATTTTAAAACGGAGGGAGTATATGCGATGATACCTCGGTTTGGTTTTACTTTTATCCTTGATCCTGAGAAGGGAGCGAAAATTGATGCGATTCTTCGTCATTTGTCAAAAGTAATTGCTTGGCAGAATACGGTGTGATCGCATCAAGTGCAAGTGGCATAAGCGCTGTTCGTCTAGATGAGCACCGTACTTACAACTAAAGTGGAGTCCTAACCATGATTAGTCGCGTCATTAGCCTTAATGACTTTCAGAAAAAGGACGAACCCCGAATATACATCCACTGTATTGTTAAGCCCTGGTTTCCAAAATTTTCAACAGGCGCGAAGTGAGCATAACTCAACTGGTTAGGTTCCTTATGGTGAAATCAGCCCACCCAGATTCAAATTCTAGATTTAGCACGGATGCTCGCATTTACAGCTATTTTTTCTTTTAGTGGTAGGCGACGTGCCTGTCGATAGCGAGACGCCTGTGGTGACTTCATCAATCTCAAGATATGCCGGCCAGTCTTCCGGAGGTGCTCATAGGGGTATGGTGTGTGTGCGTTCATAGGGGAGGTGCTCATAGGGGTATGGTATGCGTGTGTGCGTTCATAGGGGTGAGTGTGTGTACGTTGTGAGGGCCTGCGTTTGTACTGTGTTTCTCAAAAAGAAATGAGTATAGGGGTATGGTATGCGTGTGTGCGTTCATAGGGGTGAGTGTGCGTACGTTGTGAGTGCCTGCATTTGTACTGTGTTTCTCAAAAAGAAATGAGTGCTTGTGTTTGTACTGTATTTCTAGCCGGCCAGTCTTCCGGAGGTGCTCATAGGGGTATGGTGTGCGTGTGTGTTTCTCAAAAAGAAATGAGTGCATGTGTTTGTACTGTATTTCTAGCCGGCCAGTCTTCCGGAGGTGCTCATAGAGGTATGGTGTGCGTGTGTGCGTTCATAGGGGAGGTGCTCATAGGGGTATGGTATGCGTGTGTGTGTTTATAGGGGTGAGTGTGTGTACGTTATGAGTGCCTGCGTTTATACTGTGTTTCTCAAAAAGAAATGGGTGCCTGCGTTTGTACTGTGTTTCTAGAAAAAAAATCAACAGGCATGTGAACCATGGACCTGAATGGTGAAGAATCGCACCTTGTAGGTACTCTGCAACTTTCAGAAAAAAAGAATCAAGCTTGCGTTTCTTTTCATCATCTGTTCAGCATCATTTCTTCAGCATCTGAAACCAACATTTTCTTCAGAGCATTTGGAGAGGAAACATCTCCCCCTAAGGCTGTGTTTAGTTCCTTTCAAAATTAGAAGTTTTGGTTGAAATTAGTACGATGTGACTGAAAAGTTGTGTGTATATGACATGTTAATATGATGAAAAAATTTAAAAATTTGGATCCAAAGTCTGGATCTAAACACAACCTAAACATCACTCTCTCATTTTACCCAGTTCGGCCATCAGAGTACCAATACTTAAGCAAATTAATCACTTGCTGCTTCTAGTTGGTTGTGCGTGGCTGGATGATGATGTACTGTAGTGGTTGCGTTGCCGGCCTCCCTGTCGGAAGTTTCGCCGGGGCAAAGCCGGGAGGTGAGGTGGCCCCCATGATGAACGGATTTGATTAGGCTCAGCTTGCAGAAAAGCTGTCGGAGCTGCTTGGACCAGCCAGTCAACTCACTGTCAAACCTGCATCTGCTCCATCTACAGAATGCAGAAAGAGAATTCAGAAAGCTGCCACTGCAGGTAGCAACATCGACAATGGACTCGGCACTTCGGCAGAGGCGTGTCACACACGGGGAAAAAAATTGGTGCAGACCTGACCGGGTGCACAACATCACTGCACATATTCGATGGATTATACTGTACAGGATAAACCAAAGAAGATGTCATTTTTGGATGATCAATCATCAGCTGGTTGATTCAAACAAAAGAAATTAAAAAGGTGCACTAAACACGGTCAGCTGGATGATCACACATCGCCATAATGGCGAGCTTTGGACAGGCTAATTACTAGAGTATTAGACCACCACAGATTGATGATACTCACCAGTTACTATGTTACATCGATCCATGGATCACCCATCCAAGTTAGGCAGGCGGACCACCCTGCTCTGTTCGATCAATTTAATTTACAAACGACATTGCTCTGTCGAGCTACTACATCACTGGGCCAGTGTGGCTCGAGACGTGTAGACCGAGTGCCCGACAGGGACATCACGAATGTTACCTTGGATTGGAAAGCCTCGTTTGATTACCTACAAATGTACAGGTTGGACCATAATTAAATCCTGACTCCCTTGTTCCAAACCTGGTCCTTGTATGAGATAATGAGAGGGACAGAAAACCAAACACAGATAAAAGATGCAAATGATTCAAATATTTAAAATTTCCGTGAATTTTATAGGAATTCTGGGTAAGATTATCCCGAGATATGCGGGGATTTGGAGGGGGGGGGGGGGAATCATGTTCAGGAGCTGTGCATACCACACATGCCGCTGTCACGGGCACTGAAGGGGGATTTTTTTAGATGATAACTGGAGGAGGATTAGATTGAGATGCGTGAATTCAAGCCCATGCTCACTGAGAACGAACCATGTCACGACCATCCATCAGATGATCATGCCCATCATTTTGAGTAGTACAAAAATGCAGCTTTGGGCCTCCATCTCGTCGGCCTGGGCACGTCCGTCTCCTAAAATGGAGACCAGGAGAGCTAAAGAAGTTCCTCTCCAATAATGTAGTCACTGACGTAGAGCCTGTTTGGGGAGCTTAAGATTTCAAGAAAAACTGATTGGTAGTCAACTTTTAAGAATCTGGAAGAGCTAGGTTTTTCAGCTACTGACTTCTAATTTATTTTCTGGATTCTACAACTACAACTTCTTAGAATATGGACTGTTTGGGGGGAGAAGTTGCAGCAGCTAGAAGCTCTCCAAATAAGGCATATATACTCCCTTAATCTAAAACAAGCAAATATAGAATTAGATGTGATATATCATACTATAGCGAATCTGAACAAAAGCATGTTTAGATTCATTTTATTAGGATATGTCACATCTAGTTTTAAATTTATTTTTTGTGATAAAGGGATTGACTTCACATATCAACAACCACTTCTCTATGGTAGTATGTCAGAGGATATCATTCCCTTATTTGGACCATAGAACCATAAAATAAAGAGAAAATTCCTTGGGTGGCATATAAGTTATTCTAGTGTTTCTCTAAGAGGAACACCGGAATAACTTGTTTGCATGTCCAAAAGAAAAATATCAGAACTGACAGCACGAAGGGAAATGTGGTCAAATAGGTTTATTTAAAAATTTAAAGAAAGATATTTTTTTAATTTTTTTCTGAAAAATATAATTTACCATGGTCTCGATGCTTTTAAGTTACGATGAAAAGAAGGATAAAAAACTCATCAGAAATTAAATGGTCACGTGTTATGTGGGCTAAGGAGTGTGACAAGGAACATCAATAATAGGCCTCCCACCATGCGACGAGATCCTTGGGGCTTGGGCCATCCCATCGTAAAATCAAGGCCGGACTGGGCTGTGAACTGAAACGGAGCAGGAGTTTCTCGCATGGGCTGGATTCTAAACAGATTATATTCGGCCGGAAAAAGTACACCGAAAGTCCCTCAACTTATCATCCAGTTACAACATCATCCTCAAACTGTAAATATCTCGCGTCCATTGACTAATCAAAACCGGTCACACTAGATCATTTGATGGTTTTGATCCCGGGTTTGTCATACGTGGCTGCTGAGTCAGCGTGGGAACCACGTGGTCCTACATGTCAACATGTCCAGGTCAGTCTCCTCTCTCTTACCCTTCTTATCTCGCTGCGTACGATGACGTTGTCTATGCAAACAAGATTTATCGAGCCTGCGCTGGTGATGGAGACACGGCGAGCCGGATCGGGCTTGTCTTCATCGATGTGGCGGTCGTGCGTCATTGCCTCCTCCGGCAGCGGGATGTAGCTGAAGCTTCGCAGGTTGTTGGTGTCGATGAGGCGTATGTCGTTGTACAAGTCGACGCAGCGCAGGTAGCGGCTGTGCAGGGTGAGCACGACGTCGTTCACCCATCGCTGAGCTGCTTCTTGCTGTGACCGATCTTGCACGCCGAGGCGTGATGCATCTCAAGACGCTGGATCCTCCATTGCTCCGGCGACGGCGACGGCGAGCTGGCATGGTGGTTGAAGATGCAGAGCTCGAGGGAATCACCGTGGTAGTTCCTGATGTCCGCCACCATGAACTCGTGGCCGCCGTCGCCAGAGTAGGAGAGGAAGCCGATGTTCTCGTCTAGCATGATCTGTTGTCGCTGGAGTTGGTACGGCTTGTAGTATTCGTCCTCGACCGGGTCGGAGAAGCCGTCGATGAAGCAACGGGGAAGCTGCGTGAGCGACGGGGGAGAGGCGGCGGTGGCGCCGGCGGTGTAGACGAAGCAGTCGACGGGAAAGTGTCCGGGCGCGACGAAGTCCGGGTCGGCAAAGGGGACGCGGGTCCGGAAGAGGATGGAGCCGTGGTGGGCGGCGACGACCTCGGCGTGTCGGAGGTCGTAAGTGTCCGGCCATGGTTGGTTGTCGGTGTCGAGGAGGTGGATCGTGGATGTAGAGGCGGGAGACGGCCGGCGGGTCGTCGACGTGGAGGGAGACGCGGATGCGGCGGCCGCTGCAGGTGTGGGCGATCTTCGATGCCGTCACGTGGTCGCCGCTGCTGCCGCCGCCATGTCGCCTGCCGCCGGACCTCCTCTCCCGCCTCGCCCCGTCGGTCTCCTCCCCACCCGTCGGCGACAGCGCCATCCTGCCCAGAGCACCAGAGAGAAGAGTGTGAGAGAGATAAGAGGAAGGGAGAGAAGAGGGGAAAGAGAGAGGAGACTGGACAGGCTGATATGTGGGGTCCGCGTGGGTTCCACGCTGATTCAGCAGCCCCGTAGGACAGAACCAGGATCAAAACCACCGAGGGACATATTGTTGACCGGTTTTGATTAGTTAAAAGACGTGAGATATCTGGTTTTGCGGTTTGAGGATGATTTGCAACTCGATGACAAGTTGAGGGACCTACGGTGTACTTTTTCCTTTTCGGCTAGATAATCCTGACTCCGAATCCCAACTTCCCAACCACGCAGTTGTGCTGCAAGTTGTGCAGCAAAATAAACCATATCAAATTTTAGCAATGTTAAAATTTTGACAAATTAGCAAGATTGTCAAAATTTTGACAGGATTTCTATATTTACCAAAGTTTGGCAACAAACTAAACGTAAGCACTTTTTTCTTTTTAACAACTTAAAAAAATAGTATGGTTAAAAATGACATCAATCTAAATAGCCCTATACTATCAACCAATATATGAGATGCTGACAGCCACGGCTCGGCCCTGATGCGGGTACGACACGAGCAATGAGATGTTGTACCGTGTGCTAGATCACTGCAGCATTAGTGTGTGTTCGCTACTCCAGTTTCCTAACGTGTACGGTAAACACGGAAAACGGAACGGTCCATTAGCACGTGATTAATTAAGTATTTGCTTTTTTTAAAAAAATATATTAATTTATTTTTTAAGCAACTTTCGTATAGAAACTTTTTTTAAAAAAATCATCATTTAACAGTTTGAAAAGCGTGCACGTGAAAAACGAGGGAGATGTATTGGGAAAAAGGGGTTGCAAACACATCCAAGTATTGACCGGCTGGTGCAAGATGTGCGGAAGAAAATACATAGGTGCTACAGTACCCTGCATTAGTTCATGCTTCGATGCGTTAGATCTTCCTGAAACGACGTAAAATCGGGCACTATGCTAATGCAAATCCTTGTTACGCAAGACTCAGATCACTGTGCAAATGGTGTTCCCTGCCATTACTACAGATAATCTGCATCCCAAGCTGTGCATCTATTCAAGCCCCTCAGAAAAATTACGGATCCCAAATCTATGAGTAGTAATAATCAAAGCAAATTAATGTATAAAAAAAGTAGATTCCACAAGTAGGAAAAATCGACACAACTTCTATTTTTCTATTGGACTGTGTATCTCCAGCTCTTCCTTTTACATGTTAGTATGTTACCAGGACGCCGCTAGAGCACGAGGAAACTTGAAGTCACCGAGTCAATCTACTGGAGCCATGGAATGAGCGAGACAATATATTTATAAATGAAAAGTAATTTTTAATAAAATTTTTATGTGCGTCCTCTTAGCGATCTAAAAACAAATGTTGAAAATTAAACTTTGATGAAAAACTTTAAAATCAACTCCAAATTTAACATTGAAAATTTAAATTTTGACCGATAAACATAAGCATAAGCGAAAACATGATTGTTTCTATTCACACTGTTGTTAAAAGGTCCATTATTATGTGTTCCCATGAAGACCCCTAATTTCCAGCTATGACCATGACAATAGTGCCCATTTCATAAAAAAAAAACGAACGGATATTCCAAACAGTAACTTCAGGTGATCCTGATACCACTTTGAACCCCGACAAATTTCACACAAAAATCAAAACAAAAACCGTCGTGCTCTCCAAATAACAAAATATACTCCTCGAATTTCCCCTCCTTTTCCATGTCACCCGGTCCGCCCATTCCACTCCTCTTCCCCTCCCCTCCACTCTCCACTTGGCCACTTCACGGTTCACCTTCCCCTTTCCCACCTCTCAAAAATATCGCGACAACTAACCACAAAAACCCCTTTCCGCTCGCCTCGCCTCGCCTTGCCTCGCTGCGTCACCAACCTTGACGGCGACGTGCTCCCTTCCCCTTCCGCTCGCGGCGCACGGCGAGGCGGGGAGGTCCACTCTATCCGCCCCGAGCTCGCCTCCGCCACCCAAATCCCTCCCCCTCCACCCCCCAACGCCGCGCGCCTCCCACTCCCACCCATAAACTTATCCGCAAACCCTCCTCTCCATCTTCACCTCCACAGCCTCCCCACGCTACCCTCCCAATGCCGGCGCTCGGGACGCTCTCCGGCGGCGCCGCCGGCGTGGCCGGCCTCCTCCGCCTCCGCCGCGCCACGCCTTCCCCCGCCGTCGCTACTCCCTTCCCCGCCGCGGCCGCCGCCAGGTGCGCAGCCGCAGCCGCCGCCGTCGTCCCCGATGGAGGCCAGCTCGTGTGGGGCAGGCAGCTCCGCCCTGCGCTGCTCCTCCCCGCCGCTGGAGGCCTTCTGCAGCCGCCGACGTCGCCGTCGTCGTCGCAGGCCGGCAGGAGGCAGGCGCTCCGCCCGCCCGCCGCCGCCACCTCAGGGTGAGTGCCCTCTACGCTCTGGAAACTTCTAGAACCAGCTGGAGCCCGGGTGCTCCTCCTCCCACTTTGTTAGTGTCGAATCTCGCGTCGCGTCGCGCCCGCACCCACCCACCCACGAGCGCGGGTGTGAAAAAACAAACGCCCCAGTTGCGCCGCTGCTCGTGCTCGGCCGCCTCCGCCGCCGCCCCCGTATCGCTCGCGGTTGCTTGCTGCATTTCGCTTTCTATTTTTAAATTTCGCGGCGGAGAAGCTTCTTCGGTTTCGAATGGAAGAAACCCCCGAATGCCGGCCCCACCTGCAGCCACAAATAATCATTCTGATCGATGGGGCTCACTCGATAACCCACTGTTCCACTGGAGTGTGATATGCTTATGGTTAATCGGAATCAGCTCAGAGATTATTAATTTATTATTTGATGATTTTTGTTTTTTTGATTTGGTTTTGCTAGGGAAGCGAAGCCAGCGGGGTTCCTGGAGAAGTACCCTGCCTTGATCACCGGCTTCTTCTTCTTCATGTGGTATGGTTTTCTGCCACAATAATCGCGTGACCTACACCTCTGCGTTGTTTATTGAATTGAATTGATTTCACAGCGATTATTCAGCTGTTTGAAGATTGCCATTTTGTGCAAGTGATCTTGTAGGTACTTCTTGAACGTTATATTCAACATCCTCAATAAGAAGATATACAACTACTTCCCCTATCCATAGTAAGTGTATTATTGTTCTTCCCCCCTTGCTTTGCAACAGTGAGCATCAGCAAGCTGCGTGATCTTGCATTCCATTTTGTAGCTGGGTTACGACATAGTATGAACAATCGTACTGCTTGCTGCAGCTTTGTGTCGGTGATCCATCTGCTTGTTGGTGTCGTGTACTGCCTCGTGAGCTGGACCGTCGGGCTCCCAAAGCGTGCGGTAATTTCTACCTCCTTCCATTGTGATGTTATTTCCTTGACGGCTCTTGCAGTGGTCGTCGTAAACATTGAAACTAAGATGGAGCTTCACAATCCATCTTTCATGCATCAAAAGAAACTAAAACATTTTTTCTTGAATTATCAGTTTCTACTCATCCAAGACAATGCATCTAATGTGGAAATTACCAACAAATTGACAAAAAAGAACCTTGTCTTTTTGTAGCCTATCAATTCGACACTCTTGAAGCTGCTCTTTCCAGTTGCGTTGTGCCATGCTCTTGGTCATGTCACTAGCAATGTATCGTTTGCTACTGTTGCAGTTTCATTTGCCCACACCATTAAAGGTGCCATTTTTTGTGCATATTTAATTCTTGAATTTCGACCTTCTTTTGTTTTATATGCTAATGTTTTTGTGTTGCCCAATTGCAATGCAGCTCTGGAGCCCTTCTTCAATGCAGCGGCTACCCAGTTTGTCCTTGGACAGCAAGTTCCCCTGCCTCTTTGGTTGTCTCTTGCCCCTGTCGTGCTTGGTAATTCCTTAATTAAGACTTCACATTAATTTAGCAGTAAACTAAAAGGATTAAAAATATATTGATCAATTTAATTTGACCATGCTTTCTTTGTTATGATTCCATTATTTCATTGTATTTCACTCGTGCTACTGAGTATTTGAAGATTCTTTCAATTCTGTAATGTCTGCCACATGCTTTTGTGCATTTTTGTTTCAACCTATTTAACCACATTAAGATTACCAGGTGTTTCAATGGCATCACTGACTGAACTTTCATTTAACTGGACGGGCTTCATCAATGCTATGATCTCTAACATCTCATTCACTTACCGGAGCATTTATTCCAAGAAAGCTATGGTTTGTGCCTCTTTTGTGCTAATCTGTTGATTCATCACCTTTTTTTTTTTGCCTCATGGGATTTTGCGTTGATTCCTGATTCTGTCCTTTCTGACGTTAAAAAACCATTTTCACTGTTGCAGACTGATATGGATAGCACCAATGTGTATGCTTATATCTCAATAATTGCCCTTATTGTGTGCATTCCACCAGCAGTGATCGTAAGTGTGATAAATTTGGTCCAAGAAGTATAATATTATTCGTGCATTATGCTTACTGTTGGTGTTCCTCTTTCCATGACCAACTTGCAGATCGAGGGACCTCAACTATTGCAGCATGGTTTTAACGATGCAATTGCAAAAGTAGGCTTGACAAAGTTCGTTTCTGACCTTTTCTTCGTGGGACTGTTCTACCACCTCTATAACCAGGTAACCCGTTTTCATGCCATGCAAAACCACCAAATTCATCGTATTTTTGTGCTTCACAGGATGTACCTAAGTTTCATTCTTATGTAAACAAATTCCAATTTTTTCATTGACTACCTTTCATCTACTAGAACATCACTAATGCAATCATGTCATGCAGGTTGCTACAAACACTCTGGAGCGAGTGGCCCCTCTGACGCATGCCGTTGGCAATGTGTTGAAAAGGGTTTTCGTCATTGGATTCTCCATCATTGTTTTTGGTAAGTAATTTTTCCCCCATGCCTTTACGAATTGAAAATTACAAATTTGTTATGTTCGTTGCATTTTTTGTTTGATGTGTTTATGCCTAGCCTAACACTTGGTAAATCATATGTTAAACAGGCAACAGAATTACCACACAGACTGGAATTGGTACTTGCATTGCCATAGCTGGTGTTGCCATCTACTCGTACATCAAGGCTAAGATCGAAGAGGAGAAAAGGGTAAGTTCATTACAATATCTCCTACATGTGAATACATGTATAAAAAAAATGTTATGATTGTTTTTTTTTTATTGCAAATTTGCAATATAGCTGCAATTGCACATAATTGATGGCACTAAGTTTCTAAAAATAACTGAAATAATTTTGAAAGCCTATTATGTAAACACTTTGTTGGTTGCTTTGGTAGTCCAATTTTTACTGCACTTTGGATACTGAGACATGGTTTATCCAACAGACCAACATTAAAGGAAAACTAAAGTAGCATTCCACCCTTAGATTGAATATTTGTTGAATTTTTGAATGCCAACATTTTTCCCAGTTACCACATAAAAGACAGCTATTCCTGTTTAGAAATGAAAGTAACAATTGTATGATTGTCTGATTGACAGCCTCTGACCCTCAGTACATCATGGTTATAAAGAAACCAAACATGGAGTTATTTTTTGTGCACTATTCCATGTATTCATGATATTTTAACCCTCAAGCTCAAGGGGATTCAACAATACAGAATGGACATGGATTTGATAGTAGTTCTATAATTGAATATATTTATCAGAGTAAGAAGTAAACTGGGCATGAGAAAAGTGTTTATCATTTTAATTGCTTATCTTGATTTGGTACAGGCGAAGAGTGCATGATGAGGTGGTTTCTGTGAATATGGCAAGGTGGCTGCGGTGCGTGCGTTAGTTTTACTCGCCTCAGGGACAACATGGGCGAGGATCATGGCGTCTTCTTCTTGCGTATCTTGTTTTTGCTTTTGGGGTTATTTGGTCAAATTGTTCCTAGTCTGGTGTTGAACAGCATATTGCGGTGGTAAGATTGGTTATCATCAGTTGATTGTCGAGAGAGCCCAAATGTGTAGAAATAAACGCTCATACTTGGAAAAGCTTTTCATTTTGTATGTAATAACCGAGAATGTTATTCGTGTCTGTGACCTTGTCTTTGTTGGCTCTGAGGAAGTGAGGATGTTGTGTTTTTGGAAATGGAAATCGTCAGTAGTGCCGATGTGGCGTGAACCTAACCTGTTGCCACTAGTTACTCCGTCCCCACAAGTTTAACTCGATATACTTTTGAGTTTAAAAACAAACTCTATATACTTTTGTATTTCTGCCCTCGAGTATAGGATTCATCCGCTTCTTTAGCCAAATGACATCGTACTTTAGAACTGTGATTTGCGTAAAGCCGGTTACACATAGCTTTGATACAACGATCAAGGAAAACATACTTTTCAACTTGCCTGCCCGTGACGCCGACGGTTCTCATACAAATCCAAAGAACTGATTTTAAGTTATAACCTAACATTTCCGAAGATTTTTGCGTTCGCGAAAAAAAATTCCCAAGATATTTATCAGGGATCGAACTCATCTTCTCACGGTAGGACCTAGATAACTCCAAAAGAAAACTCTGAATTTCGGCAAACCACGAGACAAGCTAAAATTTTCTAAAAACTAGGGCAGCACGGCAGGAGTAAAATTTCCTCTGAGGCTAACATTTTGGAGCGCACAATTTTTTCCCCTGATTCATATGGGAAATCAACATATTTCTATAAAAATTCTAAAAACAGCCTGCGATTCAAAGGAGGCATAACCCTTGCCAGACTCAAGAGCGGTGCCTACTTGCAATGCATGATTTTACAGGATTCATATGGAAGCAGTAATTGCCTCAAGAAATATATTTTAAAGAAAAAAAACAGGTTCCAAATGGAGCCTCACCTTGTGTAGTTGTGTGTACCCTGCAACCCGCAGGTAGCCAAGAGGAAGAGCAATCAAAAAGCCATAGCATGGTATAGCACATGTCAAACCATCAGTAAATTATGGGGATAAAAAACAACATAACAACCTATTACTGATATGTTATGAAATCATCTTTCTTTTTTCTAACTTCTTGCCTTTTGTCCCCCAGAACCAATAGAAATCTACCTCGCTAGGTACCGCCAATATTCACAGTCACTTTTACGAAATTCGTTCAAACAGGCTCAAGAACCCAAGAGCCTTTTGAACCCTGCTTTTTGATCAGATGTCAACCTGGAAGGGAACCTGATGTTGAATTTAATCTTCAGATCTCCCTTCTTATTGGGCCCTTTTGGATTAGGCATGCCTTCTCCAGGGACCACCTCCACATAGTCAGGATGGATGACTGAATTAATGGGCACTGACAGACTTCGCGCATCAAGTGTAATGATACGTGCAGTATACCCAGTAAGCGCTTCCACCAAAGATATTTTCTCCGTTATAACAAGATCATTTCCCTCCCTGGTGAAAATGTCATGGGGCTTCTCCTCAATTATGAAAACAATATCAGCAGGTTTCATGTTTGGAGCTTGATTCCCCTTCTCTTCAAAAGTGATCTTTGTCCCCCTCTTCCAACCTGGCTTTACTTCTATCTGCAAAATTTCCTCCTGCTGTGAAACTCTCCTGTTACAAATAGTGAAATTAGCATGCAGACAAGTACAAATAATTAACATAAGGTACCCATAAAGAAGTCAAAGATGTTATGTAAAATCAGTTTCACTGAAGAATAAAATGAAAAGTAGGAATATCACCCCCTGAAAATTGAAAACATGTGTCGTAAACAACAGGGGGAAACAATATCAGCTAATCATGTAGCAGAAAATCAAAAGGGAATGTAGTTTTAAATGCTTAGTTTTGCTGCACTTCTGTGCTTTGGAAAGCAGAGCTAAAAGGAATTATTACACTTCACAAATTTATAAACTAATTACAGGATAACCCAATATGTCAGAAACACCTTTTCAAAGCCACGTCACAGCCATAAGAAGACAACTAAAATTTTTTTCGCACGTAAATCTCAAGTAACAATTCCTTTTAATGTCACTAATTTGTTCATGTCTCTGTATCCAGTAAAACATCACGTCAACAATGCTTAGCAAAAATATGAGTTACATTGATTGGCTACACAAAATAGGACAGCCTTTACGCTAGCATGAATCTAGAGGTTGCCAACTTGGTGCTTTGCGCTCTGATATAATTGTTTAATAAATTTACTTATTAGCAATGGCCAGACTATTTGGACATCACTAGAAAGTGTTAAGAAGGTAAAGATGATAAAGGTGTACTAAAAAAGGAAATACGGAACTGCAGTCTGTGTAGTTACAACAGTATATGTCACAAATGATGTGTCATTGCTATTTACAGGTTTATGCACAAACATCGCATGGTAAAACTGGTTGTGTTTTTGTTCCTTAATGATCATGGATCATTCCCATCTCAATGACATAAAAGCTAATTTTATAGGACGAAGAACCACTATACTTGACACTAGAATAATGAGAAAATTTAAAAAATACCATCATGGAGATACACGAATTGGAAAATACCATCGTATGTGGCACATGTCAATGATATATACAATGGTATTTTTCAACTCTGAGATTTTTTGTGATGGTACCAAAAAAAATAGGAATGCAAGTAGACCTCTTAAAGGTGTGGCAGAAGAGGCAACTAGGATGTTCAACTTAGGCCCTGTATCTTTCAACTTGGGATTATTATAATCCAGATTATTGGGAGTAAGCTGAAAGAAACAAATAACTTATTGAAGTAGCTTATTATAATCTGGAGCCCAGCTTATTATAATCTGATAAGCTCATTTAGGTGAGCTTTTTCCAGATTATTGGGTGAAAAATTACCCACCATGCCACCCCACTCCCTCTTTAGACTTGCAAACCCAATAATCTAGGCTTTAATAATCTAGGAAAGAAACAACTAACCGCTTATTCTACTACAGATTATAACAATCTAGCTTATAGTAATCTGACTCAATAATCTAGATTATAATAATCCCAAGCTGAAAGAAACAGGGCCTTAAGTGCTTTCATAGGAATGCCTCAGTGTTTCGTACACTAATATGACCCTTTCGACCTTGTTTGGATTAAGTGCTTTCATAGGAATGCCTCAAAGTTTCGTACACTAATATGACCCTTTCGACCTTGTTTGGATGGATCCAAATCCATTCCCTTGCACGTGTATGTGCCAGGAATTTGGCCATTGATTCCAAAATTCCAAACACGCGTATGTGCCAGGAATTTGGAGTTGTTGCAAATGAGGCCTCAAATCCTCAATGCTTCCAAAATCCAAACCTAAAGTGCAATAGCTTAGAACTGTTGAACATGAGATCCCTGTTTGCAAGCCATCAACTTATACATTTTCGGGTTGCAGGTTCTTGTCACCCTATGCAAATGTCTAATCGAGCCAGCTTGCAGATGTGAGCTACCAAGTAATCAACAATACTTGGCGAACGCAGATAAGATCAAGGAAGGCGAATCAAGAAAGGAAGACGTATTAAAAGGGAGACTGGGAGAGGACAATATCAAGGTCGTTTAGGGGTCAGGATGTGATGTGCTATCATGAGCCTCACATATCAGTAAACTTGAACACTGCATGCTGTTGTTGCATTTTCTATACAAGTTCTAGTACAATAGAAATTATATGATGAAACCTGGACAATTCTCCATATATAAGGAGATCATGTTCCCAACAGAGAACTGCCTAGTAAATTTCCTTCTTCATTTTAAAAAAAATGTAAAATGATGTCAATGTGATAGAATGCCCGATACAGCTTCAAATCTCTGACATGTTACCACAAATATCATGGCAATGCTCCAAGGCTTACAAACTACAATATGATCAGCAAACAGTATTAAGCTCCAAAATCTAAACTACTTGATTGTCACATCAAGTGTTAAACCAAGGAAAACACACCATTATGCACGATAGAAGCAGGATATTTTCCAGGAACGATAAGCTTTCATTTTTCCCAAAATAAGGATATATTGATTAGTAGGTGATTCTTATCTATGAAAGTTAATGTAGCCATTTATAGTAGCTCAATAGCAACGAAGTAATCCATTGCAACAACAATGAAATAATGAATACGTGATTGGCAAACATGAGTAAACAATCTTGCTCCTACGAAACTTATAGTGCTACCAGTTCACTCTGGAAGAAGTTTGACCATACAAAACAAAATTGTATAGGCAAGTTGTTTAGTACTAAGTTTTAAAGTCATCGAAAAGTAATGGAGGCTTACCCGTTGAAGTCTATAATCTCTCTTGAGATCTTCATCTTTTTTGTTACACCCTTGTACAGATCTGCAAGGCTGACTGGAAGCCGGTTCTCAATGGGCGGAGGTTTCGCTAGTTGGTGTGACGGCTGATGCATACTGGTGGAACCCTCACCACCAAAGCGTGAAGAGAAATATTCATTGCCAAACCCTGGGAACCTTGGGTCCCCTCTCATGCCTCCACTTACACTTGGCATGCCACCCATGCTAGAGAAAGGACCACGGAATCCAAAGAACTCGGCAAAAATGTCGTCTGCACTCCTTGGGTTGAAGTGAAAAGAGTTGGAATGGGCACCACCAGGGTAGAAGGGAGATGCTCCAGGACCTCCCGCACCAGGGGGCGGCTGCCCCTTGAGCCCTTCTTCCCCTACCTGATCATAGATTGTGCGTTTCTGGGGATCACTAAGGACCTAAAAGGTAAAAAAAAATAGCATTAATAACAGATCAAAAAATATCAACAACGGACGGATAATTTTCAATCACTGCAAGGACTGGATTGAAATAAACTAAGCTGTTATATTGCACTAAAAGAAAATACCAACCATGGAATGAGAATCGCAACTCAACAATGTGTATTCTGGAAAATGAAAGATACCGAATGGCTGGGTTACATTTTGGATCAGCAGATCTTTTTTACTTTACTTGAAATAATTGTGTACCTAGCATTAGCCTCATACCAATACCTTCGAACGTGGATAAAGAATCATTCAGAATGTATAACATAAATTATGATATGAGTATATGACATGCCCTTAGCACCATAGGCTCTGCTTGGCTGCGATTTTTGCGGATGCAGCTGCCGCTTCGCCTAGTGGTTCTGGCTGCGGCCCCGCACACGTGGCTACTGGCGGTAGCCACATCTACAAAAATGATGGCCGAACAAGGCCATAATCTAAGTATTGTAAAAGGGATATAGTATTCGCTATTTACTCATCGAAAAATTTAGCGCGCCAAATAAGGTCGGTTCGCCTCTATTCCTTATTTAGACATAAGAAAAACTTTAGAGCGCCCGCTAAATCGCAGTAAACATTGAAGCTAGAACGATTCCAACACGAATAACATGACAAAGAAATTCTTCCCCTCCATACGGACTAAGGGTAACAACCAATACGAGGTATGATCGTGTCAGATATATTAATACCCTAGATTTGCCTGGAGGAATCAAAATATGATCTTTGTAAGATTGATGATGATGTAGGTTTCCAATGGCCTTGATTACTTCTTCCGCAAAGAAAGAACATCATTCTTCAAACCGCCGAGATAACGGATCGAGCCGCTACAATGAACCACGAAAAACTAATCTTCGCAGGAATATGAGGAGGGGGAGATGCGGGGGGTGTGAGGGCAACCTCGTAGGCCTCGGAGATCTGCTTGAACTTGGCCTCGGCCTCCTTCTTGTTGTTGGTGGGGTTCTTGTCGGGGTGCCACCGCATGGCGAGCTTGTGGTAGGCCTTCTTGAGGTCGTCGTCCCCGGCGCCGCGGTCGACGCCGAGGACCTTGTAGTAGTCGACCCCCATCTCCCCCCGCGGAGGCGGTGGCGGTGGCGGCGGCGGCGGCGGGGGCGCCTCCCTGCGCCGGCAGCGGCCGGGCCGCGCGGCGGAAGAAGACGACGACGACGAGGCTGGCGCCCTCCGCTTGGCTCCGCCGGCCTCTCGAATCTTGCCTGCCTTGTGCTGTCCCCCGCCTCGTCCCCCTCGCTCCGCCGCCGCGACGGTGGGTGAGAAGAAGGGAGACGCAGCCGGCGGCGGGTGGCTGGGTCTCGCGTCGAGCCGCGAGGAGAGGAGGAAGGAAGGGGGTTGGCTAGGCTAGGCTAGGGCGCTTAGGCTATTGGCTTAGGCTAAGAAGCGTGGGAGTGGAAGGTTCGAGAAGGAGTGGTGGTGTTGGTGTTGGGTTCGGGGTGGGCTCTGCGTCCGCGGCGTGGGCCGTGCGTGCGTTCGCCGGTGGACGTCGGCGAGTCGGAGTTGGAATAAGTTCATATGAGGTCCCTTAACTTTACACCGAGTCCGATTTTCGTCCCTGAATCATAATACCAGATACCATGGGTCCCTCAACTGTCAAAACCGATGTAGATGAGGTCCCTCAGCGGTTTAGATGGCGGTTTTGACTGATGTGGCGCTGATGTGGCTAGTTTGACTTAGTCCTCATCGTATGTGGCGGTGATGTGGCACTTGGAAGCAAAATAAAAGGTCGGACCCACATGTCAGTCATTAAAAATAGTGGGACCCACCCTGCTCTCTATCTCCCCCGCCCCGTCGTCCTTGTCCCTTCTCCCTCCCGGCCATTCTTCATCCTTCCTCGAGCTCCCTAGCCGGCCGGCGAGCGCGCGCGGAGAGGGAGAAGGGCGCCAGCCATCGGGTAGGGAGGCCGGCGAGCGTGCGTAGAGAGGGAGTAGGCGGGGAGGCCAACGAGCGGAACGGGTAGGCCGGCGAGCGCGCGGCGGCAGGCGAGAGAGCGGCGGCCGGAGCTGCACGACCTCGCCCCCCCTCCTCCGGCGCCGCCGCATCGATCTGCACGAGTTGCGGCGACGGCGAGCTCACAGCCGCGGGACACGGTCAGCGTGGCGCTAACGGGGCCCGGGACTCGAGCTCGCAGTCGCAGCCGCCGCTGCCCACTTCCCCAATCCCCTCCATATGCGTCAAAGTTTTTGATATTCATGGCGTTCTGCTCTTGTTCTGGTGGATTGATTGATTGGTGTGCTTGTGCGGATGATTTGTGCGAAGGCGACGCGAAGAACGCCCACCTGATGTCTCTGGACGTCGCCGTGGAGAGGCTGCGGCTGTTCAAGGCCGACCTGCTCGACTACGGTAGCGTGGCGGCGGCCATCGCCGGCTGCGACGACGTCTTCCATGTGGCCTGCCCCGTGCTCCTCTCCGCCGCTAACCCAGGGGCACACATCTCTCTTTTTTCAGCAAAATAATTCCTTTTCTTCTCCATTGACTGGTTCAAACTGTAGACTGCAGTTATTGAAAATCGACAAAAATCAACAGTTTCTACTAAAAATGATTTGTCGAAACTGTTGCTTTCTCAACAACTAGTAGTAGCTGAAGTCTGCAGAGTTGTAATTAAATCGTCATGTTCTTGTAGCTAAATGAATTGATGTTGCTGTAGGTTCATACACTTGCTGCTGCTGTAACGGGCACGACGAATGTGCGGAAGGCTTGTTCACAAGCAAGGTTGGGACTTGGGAGGGTTGTGGTGGTGTCATATGTCTATGCTGTGATGGTAAATCCTAACTGGCCTGAAGGCAAGGCTGTAGATGAAGATTGCAACTCGTGCAGATCAATGCGGCAGCGCAGCAGAAGTCTTCGTCGGCGGCGGGGCCGAGGTCGTGCAGCTCTAGCCGCCTCTCCTTCCTCTCCTGTCATGCGCACGTCGGCCTACCCTCCCCGCCCGATGGCTGGCGCCCTCCGCACTTCTCCCCACCGGCGCCCTTCTCCCTCTCCGCGCGCTCGCCGGCCGGCGAGGGAGCTCGATGAAGGATGAAGAATGGCTGGGAGGGAGAAGGGAAAGGACAACGGCACGGTGAAGATAAAGAGCAGGGTGGGACCCACTGACATGTGGGTCCACTATTTTTTAGACTGACACATAGGTCCCACCTTTTATTTTGCTTCCAAGTACCACGTCACCGCCACATAGGACTAGGACTAAGTTAAACTAGCCATGTCAGCGCCACATCAGTTAAAACCGCCATCTAAACCGCTGAGGGGCCTCATCTACACCGGTTTTAACAGTTGAGGGACCCATTGTATCTGGTATTGTGATTCAGGGACGAATATCGAACTCAGTGTAAAGTTAAGGGACCTTAGATGAACTTATTCCGTCGGAGTTTGGCGTACGAGGTTGGGTTTGGGTGGGTGGGTGTAATGTAGGCCCGACAAAAGGCCCGGCCGGTTTTGTGCTGCAGGCTTGCGACCTGGCGTCCTTTCGAGACTTGAGAGTATGATAGGTGGCGTTCGTTTCTAACTTCCGATAGATGGATGAATTTAGGTATTATAACACGAAAACGAATAACAAAGTTTTTGAACATGACAACAAAAAATATTAGCGTGTGATTAATTAAATTATAATTATTATTTTTTTTAAAGATGGATTTGTTTGATATTTTAAAATAACTTTTATATAGAATATTTTCGTCCGAAATATACCATTTAGTAATTTGAAAATCATGCTAACAAAAACCTAGATAAAATATGTGTGTTAATTAGAAGAAAACATACCATACTCGTACATAGTACAGTTTATAAACTCATATACTTCTGTTTGTATGCTTAAAGACAACTGTACAAGGTAATCGGTGGCAAATTTTCTAGGAGTGCATTTCCCAAAACCCTAGGTTTTAGGACATAATATTTCAACAAATCATGTATTTACGTAAAATACTTGTACTTTTTATATCATGTATGCTATTTTTAAAATATATCCACATTAGTAGGCTCCAATTACATATCCCTCATATATAATTTATAATTTTCCCGCGTTAATAGGTTACACATACATATAAATATTAACATTACCAATAACCAATGCTATATAGTTGAAGATGGGGGTAATGTGTATATGTACTAAAGAATATCCCATGCTATTTTTTAGCATAAATATATTGGCCAAATCGATGATATTATGTTATACTTAAGGCTACACTAAATATTTTGTCTTAAAACCTAAAGTTTCTTAAAATCATAAAAATAATAAAGCCTGGTAGGGCTCCGTATTTGTTGTTTTTCTGTAATTTTTTTTGTTCCTCGGTAGTTGTGGCTTGTAGATGTAGAAGCTCCTCGGTTGGGTGACATAATTTTTTTTGTCCGGTTTCATCCATCGGTTGTGTCGGTCTCCTCTTGCATGTGCGCCATACGCACAACCTTTCTCAGAGTAAATGACGCTTGGTGGTGTTTATGAAAAAAAAAACTCCTCGTAACTAGTAATACATAGTGTTTTGCGATAAAAATGACTAAAACCTAAGGTTTTGTCATATTTACTCATTTTCTATCGAAATTTCAAGATCGTTTTTAAAGGGTCAATCATGGGCTAATTGATCCAAATACGGAGAAAAATGGCCAAAAAAGAAAAAGAAACAGAGAGATTTAAGTTCAGCTGCTGCTCTGTTTGGTTAGACGTAAGGTTACACTAAATATTTACCTTAAAACCTAAAGTTTCTTAAAATAATTAGTAATACATGGAGTTTTATACAATACAAATGCCTAAAAGGCTAAAAGCCCAAGCAAGGTTTTGTCATATTTACTAATTTTCTATCGAGATTCCAAGATCGTCTTTAAAGGATCAATCATCGGCTAATAACGCAGACAAATTTGGCAAAAAAAAATCAGAGAGATTAAGTTCAGTTGTTACTCCGTTCTTGCATAGTCCATTATTAATCCGTCCGTCGCCATCCCGATGGGCGAATGGCGATGCCCGGTGACTCCGCGTCTCGCCATCGCCATACACGGAGCGCTCTGCTTTGTTGGTTGTCACCGTGTCGGACTGAGCTGGCATGGCTGGCAGCTACATGGGCCACACAACTCTTCATCCCCATAAATTCCATGGGCTTTTCGTGCGGCCTAATGTCTCCGTGCAAACCAATGGAAGGATGGAGAAGTAAGTCCGTTTTGGCATCCCTCACTCTTGTTCCTGGTTAAATTTCCCTCAAAGGTACCAGTGTAAATCTGCTCCTTTGGCATTTTGGAAAGTGATTTTTATTAACGTGGCAGGTTGACATTGGTCGACTCATTGAGTGAGTGGGTGAGATCTACGTGTCAGACACACCATCTTTTTTTCTCTAGCCTCCACTATTCTCCTTATCTCCACTTCTATAAACCACCAGAGATGTGGAGAGAGATGGGTCGTGGGGAAGACAAGAGATGGGAGAGTGGAGGAACAGAGGTCACAAGTTGGGGAGAGTCGGAGAGATGAGTAGCAAATCAGGATTCCACTTCTTGACTCAGCGAATCAACCATAGTCAGCATGTCACGTCGGCGAAAACTGATTGTAAGATCATTAAAGGAGTAGATTTGTACTGGTTTTAGAAGATGGATGGGTCGTTGTACCGGTTAAATCAGGAGCAATAATTGAGGGAGACAAAATAAACTTTCTAAAGCGTGAAACTAGGCCCATGAGAACTAAACCTAACCACGCGGTCCAGAAAAGATTCCGCGACACGGGCAGTCCAGACCGTTGTTAGATCTGGCTGACTACCCAACCACTATCGGACGGCGACAACTCCACTCGTCGCTTATACAACCTTGACAACGATCCTCACATAAAATCAGTTCTACTCTCATTGTCTCACACAATTTCCCCCCAAAAGAGAAAATTCTCGCGTTCTGAAGTTAACGGCCCCAAATGCTACCAAAACCCCTACCCCCAATTATTACCTCCAGCAACCATGCCCTCCCGTTTCTCCGGTGAAATGCAGGGCACCAGACGGCCCCCGATATGCGGCACAAACCGCAATAAGATTCCCCAACCCGGAGACCCCCGAAAACGAAACGAGTGCAAGACGCCACGCACGACCCCCGCGCAGAGCCAAAAGCCAAGAAAAACACGGCAAAATCCGTGGTGGTAGTAGTAACATTCTCGGCTCCCCGCGCGCGCGTAGAGCCCAATCTCGTGGTCGTGGACCGCGGACGCGCGCGCGCGCGCGGCTAAAATACGTCGGTTTCCGCGTCCTACTACCCACACGTCCAAATCCCATTCCTTTTTCTTCATCTTTCTTTTTCTCCTCTTCTTCTTCTTCTCCTTCTCATCCTGTGACGACGGCGACGAAGCTACCTGCCGCTGGTGATGCTGTGTGATGCTGTGGCTGCTTCATTAATTGGGGAAAGTCTGGTGGCCACACAGGTTATCACACACGGGTGAAGGCTGAAGTGAACAAGCGTCGTGTGTCTCGGTACAGTTCTATTTCTATCCTTCTCTCTCTTTTCATTAATTAGTTGGGTTAGTATAGTGGATAAGGCTCTGTCATATTTATGCCGTGTTGGATTGTCTTGCATGCATGTGAGCATAATCAATTAAGTTTCGTTCGAGCCAATCACCTGTACGTACAGCGTCTGATAAACACCCTGGTTATTAGAGCTAGTGGGTGAGAAAAGGTTGCATCTTGCATGATTTGTGGATGGAATCTCCTTATGTTTTTGTACTAACAAAAACAGTCTCGAATGTTCTTATATCCTTATATAAGCACACAGGGTAAAAAAAAGAATCATGATCCATCCATATTAATTAGATGAACTGTTGACTCTGAAACGAATTGAAGAGTAATCATTGACTATAATGTAGTTACCCCCCCACCCTTCTTTTATTTTCTTTTTTTTTTTGCAGAAATACAAATTGAAGAGTGATCAATGACTATAATGTAGTTTGACACCCCCCCTCTTTTTTTATTTTCTTTTTTTTGCAGAAATACAAAGAGATAATGGAATTGGAAGTAGCTAGAAAAATTGTGGCATGACAAAAATCAAACAAGGGGTAGGTGCGAAATTAAAGAGATTATCGCCTTCCGAGTGCCAGAAATGTTGGAGAAGAAGTTAGATACGATCTACATAGCCTGTATATAAAGGCACAATGATAAAGACATTATGAATTAATTAACTGGGGGAAAAAGGATAGCTATGCATTAATATGCATATCTAATTGGCAGCATATAGCTCAATTGCCCAACGTGGGGCACTGATCTGCTGCAAATTACTATTATATATCCCTCTGACTCTAGGGATTGCATTGTCACACATGGGGGCAAGGATGCAACTGTTTGAACTATTCAATCAGAGAGCCATCACGGATCGTCTTATATATTCAGGAACACCCGCATGTGTTCTTGGCTCAGAGCACGCATGCATGCATACATGCATGAATGCTGCAAATAGATGTACATCGATTGTGATTCAGCAGGGCATGCTGTTCATGTGCCGGAGGCTTGTCGGTCTAGTACATAATAATGTGAAGATGTAAATGATACATGATCCGGGAAATATATGTATGTGTTGCAGAGCTGCAAGAAACAAGTAATGGTTGACATTTTCTGCTACGTTAATTTGGATTCTGTGAAATTTGTTTGGGGGTGCCAATTTGCCCTGGGGTGGGGGGTATGGAGCTTTTCTGGCCAAGAATTTCTCCCAAGTAAATTTGCATTATTTTATTTTATATAACAGATCTGCTCGAAATGATTGACAATTGAGCTTATCTAGTCAACCATTTTCCATGTCACGGGGTGAAGCATGGTCAGATTGTCATCGATTTGACTGAGCATATAGAACTAATATTAAGGTCACGTTCTTCTTGGCTTACGGATATAGATTATCGTGTCTCCCATGTTTCTAAATGGTATAATTTCTCCGAAAACCATTTTTATAAATATTTTTGAGAGACATTTTAAGATCAACATTTAACTTTCTAATTAATATATATTTAATTCATCCGTTTGCGCTCTTGAATACTTATCACACACTTAGTTTCAACTATCATCCATCATCTATAACAAATTGGACCTAATTAAGAGTATGAACAAGGACGACTTGTGTTGTGTTATTTGAAGAGTGCACATAACAACATGCTATGGACAATTTTCAAGTTTATAGAAGATGGTGTATAGTCTTCAGGTGATGGAAGTTTATTTTACACATCTTAATGTTTACACATGGGATAGTCATTTAGATCCAATTTCAAAGGGAGAAAAGGAAATGGAACAAACCCGTGCCTTTCCACCAAACACTAGAGGGTGAACCAAACGGAGAGAGTATTAATTATTGTAAACTTGAACAATTGATTTATTTGATTTTTTTAAAAAACAAATATATATGAAAAATTAGCATGCTCACGGAGAACGAGACAGTAGCTGAGCCTAAATGGAGATCTGAATGCATCATAAGTGTAGCACTAGTTGTAAATTATATATTCTCGGATTCTCCCTCCATCAAAAAAGAAACCAATCCTAATTACGAATCGTTGTTAAGGTTCATAGTGTTAGAATTGAAATTTTTAAGGATGAATGGTATATATGTAGAATAAATATGGATCCATTTGATATATTATTACCTGCATAGCCAAACAACATATAAGGATGTGCTCTGATCAAATTATCTGTGCGTAGTGTTTTATTTAACACCCTAGACATTATTAAACATGTAACTAGCGTTGCTAGGTTGAGTTTATAAATCTGATGAACTTCCTCCGTATTAGAAAAAAAATAAATTATGGGTCCTAATCTAGACATAGGTCCAAGAAATTTGTTTTTTCTGAAACACAGACCCCGGTGTATGCACTAATATGATAGCATGGTGCGTAGAGTGTGTAAGTTCATTTTATTGGTGAAAATAAGTTATATAACATTATTCTTTTTGGTTGTTAGATGCACTTTAAGATTCATGCATACGAGATTGGGAAATAAAAATCATGCGAGCATAGTGGTGTGAATTGAACATGCAACACACAGACATAGGTGGCAACATGTTTCCACCACTAGCTATGATGTTTTTCTTGAGTTATATACCAGTTATATCTAATTTATACTATAATTACATACTAGTTATAATGTAATTACACTTAATTACATTTGAAAGATTTTTAGAGAATTTTGAAAAAAAAAGAAAGAAAACCTCGGTTGTCAATGGTAACTTTGCAGGCCTAGCTCTCTCGTAGGTAGGCAGGCAAGCACACCCCAAGCCTAGCCGGCAAATCGCCGATTCGCCGTACGACCAAGCATGGCAGATTGTGATTTGTGAGTCACACCAACAGAGGTGGACACGTGAGTCTGCGCCACCGCCGGACCATCCGTCCATCCATCCATCAGCTCGCCGCACCTCGGCCGGTTCGATTTTCCCGCACCGAATCATGGCGCCCCGAGAACGATGAAACGATGAGTCACTCATGGTATCACGCGGCCGGCCGGGTTACGACGTTCGGCAGTACGTGCGCCAATATCGACCGATCCCTCTCCCTCCCGTCACAAGGGTGTGGTCGATCGATTTCACGGTCTTATTACCACCCCCAGGCGTTTTTACTGTAAAAACTTCACGGAATTGCTAATCCTCTTTCGGTACAAAACCAAAGTCTAAATCTTACAGATTTTGGATTGTATGTTCCGCTTCGTGAGCCATGCTTCAATGAGCTCTCCTCTGGCTCCAACGATCTTAATAAACTTCATCGACCGATGACAACCACCATGCATGACTAATTAGGGTATGAGATTAGGGTCAAGATGAGAATTGAGAAAGAGATCGGGCCGGAGAGGGGTACCCCCTGTTGGAAATAATGCATACTTAGCCATTAATTTTATTCCAAGCATTATTATTTGAAAGCATATACAGCAAGCATAACCTACTTGCGACATGATAGGACAAGAAAAACTCATAAATTCTATCATGCTAGATATCAAACAAGGCATAAATAACCAAGCCAAGTAGGTCATTAGGCTAATCACAATGGTAATCTAGCCGCAATATTTTAATCTAGATGAACAGTACCATGCATATACAAAACTCAGGTACGAACAAAACTAGATTAGAAATGCACTGGTTCCTTTCCTTTGTAAACGAAAGAATTCACTCACTGAATGGATCGACGAAGATCAGCGAGTTGAAGCAGTGTAGTCAATCGATGATGTCGAGCGGCCACGTAGAAATACGCTGCCCAGAAACCTTTACACCGCCCCCGTGCAGGTGCGAATGCGGCGAAGGCTCGGAGACACCACTCGCCGGAATGCTCGTTGCACGACGAGCACCACGGCCGGCTTGGATCGACGGCGACGCAACACGACGGCAGTTAAGGAATTTCAGAGTAGATGGCTATTGTGTTCTTTGTCCTTCAAAAACGTCTCCTTGACTCCTATATAGAGCTAACACTGAACGGCAGCCCACGCTCAATCCGTTGCTCCTCCGCGTCAAAGCCGAATCGGCTCCGTGAGAAACGCAGCCGCCAAACGGCCACAAGCGCACGTTCTCTCTTCACGTGAGAACCAAGTCTTCAGGTGATTGACTCGATCAGCAGAGGTTGTTGTATACAAGCATCTTGTCATCCAACACATGCTGATCGTGCGGCTAAGCATTAGGCATTTAAATTGATGAAATGATCAATGTTTCCAAGCATGTTATTTCCATCACCCCCAGTCTCAGAGAAATGGTTGTGAGTGATGAAGAACTGGTGGTCGTAGATGATGGACAGGGGTGGATGGAGAGACGGCGGCAAACACCGCCGGATCAACGAAGGTGGACAAGGATGGTAGGTGTGCATCAGAGGTGGAGGCGGCACCATGGCAGTCTCCGCCAAATATGAGAAAGACGATAGAGCATCATGGGGCACCTTGTCGGAGTGGGAGAGGAAGTAAGGTGACTGGAGGGGCCTCCGACGTCAAGACTCGATCGGGAGGGGGTGTGGGGGTGGGTTGGGGGGGGGACAGTGTTCTAGATGAGAAATGTGGTAGTGGCGTTATAAGACGAGATAAGGTGATATTGAGAGAAGACATGTCGGGGAGGAGAAGAAGAAAAATAAAGAGAAGTCACCATACATCACGAATCTTAAACAATCTGAACCATCAAAAAGCTAGTGGGATGAACAAAGATTTCATACAAACGTTACATAGACAGTCCTATAGTTACATTTAAAAATTCTTCGCTTAAAAAACTATCAAATGTTCTATAACTACTCACTTCCTACAATTTTTCGGCCGAGTTCTTTTCCAACTCATCTCTCTCGTTTTTCGCGCACGCTTTTCAAACTGCTAAATAATATGTTTTTTTGGCAAAAAATATCTATACGAAAGTTGTTTTAAAAATCATATTAATTCATTCTTTAAAAAACAATAACAATTAATCATAAAAAAATGTGTTGCTCCGCATGTTGTTATGTATTTTGTAATCCTGCCTCGTGCGTTCGAAAGAGGCCCCTACTGATCTCGTCACCAAATCCAGCGGGAGATACGCCAGTCGCCAGAGAGTGACGTACAGTGAGCAAACGAGAGAGAGAAACAGAGAAGTAGAGACGCATGGAGCGACGTCCGCCACGCAAAGGCCCCCGGCCGGCCGGGACTGGAGCGCATCATATGCATCGCCGCACAAGGAAGAAAACGACGTGTGGTGTGCTGCTAATTTGCATTGCGGTTGCTGCTGCTGCTACACTATATATGTGGACCGGGAAAAGACAAGCGCAAGGCTCCTCCTCGCTCTCGATTGGTCGCAGCTGACACGATCGATGCTGATTGTCTCAACAAGGTAGCTAGCCTGCTTTTTACCGTCGTCGTCGTCATCGGCAGCTACATACGTACAGTACAGGCAGGCGCGACTCCAGCTGATATGCACGCGGTCGCTGTTCCCACATCTCCCAAAAACCTCTCTCTCCTTGCACATATACTGGCTGGCTGTTCACACGAGTCCCTCTCACGCCCGCGCTGTAGAGCGTAGACTAGTTGTGTTCTTCTCGCACGGATGAGATACGCACCATGCATATAAATCATGCAAAAAGGGGGCGAAATGCAGTACAAATGGATTGTGTAGAATATATATGTACAGTTGTATACACATATAGTATATGTTCCTGTAAAAAAGACTAGGTAACACCCTAAAGTCCTAAGTTCAAATCACCATAATAACGAATTTTAGATTAAATTATTTAAGTGTTAAGTTTTTTTGTTTGATGGGCTAAGTTCCCAATTAAAATGTTTTATATATCCGGTTACCACTGCCGGTTAGGTATACAGACACCAGCCACGTAGTACAGTGTATGTTGCTGTAGGGATTGCACAGATATATGCAATGCAGGGATGGGCCCCGGGGTGTGCGCTAGCTGGAGTGTGCCCGGCCACAACGTGGTGTGCCGCGCGCATGCACGTACGTCTCGTCGTTGCACTCTTGCACGTACGCACGCAGACGCAGTGGCCAGCTGCTGACGCGCGCGTACCACGTATATGTACGTACACTACTGTCGGGCTGTACGAGCCAATGTCATGTGGGCCATTGCCTGCCCCCGGGCGTTTCGCAACAGCGAGTTCCAGTCTTCCAGAGCATTTTTTTTA